CTTCAATGCCGCCTACCACGTTAAAAGGCAGATATGAGGGTAGAGAAATCGATCAGTTCTAAATGAAATGCACCTCGTTTATCCTCGTGGACCTTTCAATTTCCTGTTACACACGTATATTGTTGGTCGTCATCGTCTAGGCCGGAAGAATGAGGATTTATTCTATACGCTAAATCGTATTGTACTTGTTTACGCAATATATATGTGCATATTATTGATTTTTGCACGATATTTCATTAATTCAATATCATTTTTTGTGAGTATGTTATGTAATGCATAATTATTATTATTATCACGTATTGAAATTGCTTTAGTTACCGAGTATCACGACGACCATAATTGGTAAAAAAGAATGTATTTGCATTTCTATCGAAGATCTGAGACAGAAATGTAAATTAAATCAAACGAAATCCTATTATATAAAATTATATTTGTTATTATATATAACTGTATAAGTATAAAATATTACCTAAGCTATATAAATCGTTATCAGCGAATTTGTGCAAATTAGTTTGAAAGGTGCGTGTGTTAGAATTATAATATACACTATTTGATGTATGTATGTGCATTATACTAGGTTAGTCTTGTAGTAGGTTTTCTAAGTATTAATTACTTATGACAGATAAATCAATGTCAATAAATAATTTTCGCATTACACTGGCCGCATTCCAATACATACACAACCTCTATTTAAATAAAATCTATTATTGTTTAACCGGAAAACGTTCGGTTTTAATATTAAATTATAATATTATACTTAATATCCATTGCAGGTTAGTTAATTTGTTTTAGGAATAAAAAACACGCACGTTAAAATATAATACCACCATGAAGATAATTTAAAAAATGTAATTACTTTGAGAATAAAACGTTATAGTTTGCGTATTACGCTCGTTCATATATGTAATATGTATGGGAAAACGATACATATTATAAAATCGGTAGAACGTTATAATTCTAATTAATTGAATATGGATAACAAATAAATTAATTTCCTTTTATCTACTCATCCATGATAATTGTAATCTAACAGAACATGCGATTTTGAATGTTTTGATTTACATAAGCACGGGCAATATTACCATAAGCTTTACACAATACATCGTTTTCTGCAAATCTATGCATATTATCAGGAAATTATATATGATTCGCTGTTTTATCTAATAAATTTGCACATTGTTCAGTATACATACTGACTATGAGTATGTTTAGAAATTCGCGTATTATTGGGTGTCTCACAAGTATTTGGCTAGGTAGTCATCAAATTTTTTTAAGTAAATTTTAAAATTTTTTTTTTATTGGAACATTTTTACTGTGAGAGAGCAACGATTAGCAAAAAAAGCAATTATTTTTTAATTTGTTTGAGCTTAATATATATATATTAAAAAAAATATATTGTTATCATTTTTATTTTGAGATAACCAACTTTTTTACATTGTAGCTACTTTATGCATATATTTTGAAAGTTGAAAAGCTAATTTTCATTTAGTATTTAAATAGTTATATAAGTCTTAATGTTTTGGGCAAGAGTTGGATAATAGAAAGTACTTATATTTTCATATGTTGGAGGAGGTAATATGTGTGAAAAAAAACATAGTAAGACATTAATTTGTCTATATATGGTCATAAACAATATCTTACAATAATCTTTACATTACTTTCTTTCTTTTTGTTCATAGAATGTTCAAATGTTACGAGAAAGCAGTTTTTTTTTAATGTACATATATCAAGACAATATAAACTATTGTTATGTTAATTCGATAATGTTTATACTTTATTTAATTGTTATGTTTACTCCATACCCATACTTGCACAGAATAAAAAAAAATGTTCTAGCAGTATTCCAATAAAAATAATATTTCAAATGAATAGCGTTTTATGTTGTTATGTTACACTTTATGTAAAAAATATATTATCATCAAACGTTATTTTTATACAAGTAAAATAAAGATAAATCGATAGGTTTCGTCGGTGGTCTCGAGTATATTGTAAGCCACAATCAATTTTCTCATTGGTTTGAGATATCTGAGTATGTCCACTGGGTTGCTGTACAGTATATATGTCGTAGCCACTTTATGAAATTGATCTTTTCATGAAAAGATGACCATTTCATGAAATGGAAACAGATTTTTTACACTTCGTGAAGTTCGAAAATATTTCACAATATGGTCACTTTTTCATGAAATGGTCACACTAATTTAACATCGTGTAATTTTTTTCACAATGTGGTCGTTCACTTTGTGTACTGAAAATTGAAATACAATATTTATAACACACGTAAATGTACAAGCTTTAATAAACATAAATGTAAGTTATTTTTATCTGAAGAATACGTAAAGTTTGATTATATCCGTTAACTAGGTAGGTATACGTGACACGTGTCCATATAAAATAAAACAAATACTATCTATATTCTATACGACTATTATACTGAAATTACCGGACTATCCGAAATGTGTAGATAATATTTTATTGGTTTTGATAAAAGTCATAATAGGATAATGTCATACCAGTATTTTAGTTATACTTTGATGCTCAAGTTTTTAGTAATTGCTGTGTGGATCATTCGATCGTATTCTATTACAATTATCTACTGTATTCTATCTCTACGTAGTATATTAAAAATGGTTAACTTTAATGAAAAAACTGAGTTTTACCAAAAAATGGATAAATATTATTTGGATAAGCCTGGTAAAAAGCCATATACATCTGAAAAAATCGAGTCGATAATTATGGAAATTACTGACGCTAAATTAACGTAAGTACCTACATATACATTATACCTACTAAGTTTATTTATTTGTTTTCTTATAATACATAGTGTAACTCGTCTATTTGACCAATCAACAAATGTAAAAACTCTTTTTTTTTAAATTCCAAGATATATTTTATAAATAAGTTATTAAAAACAATTTCAGAGTTTAAAACTTTGAATTAGGTAAAGTTATTGATTTTTTTAGGAAGAAATAAATTTGAATTTTAACAAACTTTGAAAATTGTTTAAATTAGTGTGACCATTTCATGAAAAAGTGACCATATTGTGAAATATTTTCGAACTTCACGAAGTGTAAAAAATCTGTTTCCATTTCATGAAATGGTCATCTTTTCATGAAAAAATCAATTTCATCAAGTGGCTACGACATATACAGTACACGTGTACGGTATTCCTTTCAGAGTTCACTGAAATTTCAATAATTGTTTATTGTTTTTGTATTTCTATAACACAGTTCGTATGCGCATTTTTCGATTATGGTAAAGTAAATTACAAATTATTATTATACGAGTATATTGTGTGTATAACTTTAAAATCACACTTAATCCAGTAAAAGTTTTATTCATCTTTAATAATGCTTTTATGAAATAGCCAACAAAACGTCATGAATTATGATATATACCTATAGGTATACATTATTCATATTCATAACATGTATACATATTTATATATATACACACACACCATGTATAAATTACACCGTGTGATCCATTTAACAAAAGGCACTTGTTATTTCAAAAACTATTACATTTTTAGAAATATTTTTTATACGTCATTTTAAATTGTTAAAAACAATTCTTTTCTAGAATAAATTTAAAATATTCCAACGTATAAAAATCGAATTCAGGAAAAATAGTCTATGAGACGTGTATTTAAAGTTAAGTTTAGATAAGTAGGGTGAAATGATCAAAAGAACACTTCAAAATTATGGTTCTCTATTCCACTCGTTTAAATTTAAAATACTTATAATTAATGGACTTGAAATCTTTAATGGATTTGATACTTATAGAGAGAAATACTACAATTATTAGTCTGTTTTAGAATATTAAATTAAAAATGTATGTTATAATTTTTATATTATAAAAAACTAAAAAAACTTAAGAAGTGATAACTAAAAAAAAAAAAAAAAAATATTTAACGATTTAAAAAAAATATTTTCAAAAATTGAAATAGCTTTTAAAATAGCTAATGAGTGTCTTACGTTAAATGAATCACTCCATATGTGTCATACTCTCATTTCTATATCCCGCTATCACGCTATAAACGGTAATTATAACATATAGGTACTGTTACGTGTAGTAGCTACCAGAGCATATAACTAGTTGTATGAGCTTACTATATAATACTATATTCTATATTATTATAATTTTGAATAATTCTTTGCACATATTATACTATGCTTATGTTTATTATCATCACCATAAATATATCACTCCATTAATATTTATTGATTCTCATGCTCACGTTTACAGTTTAACCATGCGATCTTGTTAAAATTCTATTTCTAACATCTTTTAAGAATATTTAAAAGAAAAAATGTAATTTACCAAATGCTTTTTTTCTGTTAATAGTAATTTATACATTAAGGTGTTTTAATATCTTTCAAGTTTATATGAAAAACTAGTGAAGTTAAATTGTTCAAAGAAATTGAATTGACACATACATCTATACTTTATTGAAAACTCGAAAATTAGAGTATTGAATTTCTTAATTGTTTATTGAACTTTTATACATAAAATAAATTATAATTATTAATAATTGATATTTAAAGATATATTTACTAAACAAGTAATATATTAATATATTTATATATATTAACTACTAAGATAAAATAGCGTGTATGTATGTTATATATTCAAGTATAATATACTATTAACAAGATTGTTGCGCGCATAATGTGAGTATAATTATATAATAGCACAAGCTTACTGTCTGTGGTTCAATATGTGCAGGTGACCATAATTTAGGCACGTGTAACCGCCTAGCATTTTATTATTATATTATCTCTATATGCTGTATATGTAATTTAATGGCCAGTAGATTATAATTATAATGCTGATGTAGAGGCGATAGAAATGTACTTAACACATAATATTATGTTAGCTGTAGGTATAGCAATAACGCTATTGTTGTGATGTTTTTATTTTAGTGACCCGAAATCGACACAAATTACGTACAGCACGAAACGTTGGTTCTTAACATTAAACTTTTCATATGTTTTGATAAGGTGTCGTGGACCCGAGAACGCTGGTTGCTACCGAGAGGGCGGGATCGTCATGGGAAAACCGCTACATGTGCAAGGAACACCGCCGGGCTGGAGCGACGTTCCAGGGAAAGGTGTACAATTTTTTAGAAAGGCCATCCGGGTGGAAATGTTTCGTATACCACTTCACCGTGTAAGTAGTACATTTACATTTATATAATTTATATGCGTATTGGATGCAGTACGTTGCAGGTAAAATAAATTATATTCTACACATCAAGGAAAAAACAAAAACAGAAATTGCGCAACGATTTGCAAAAAATGTCGTGTTGTAGAATTCACGTACTTCGATGGTGTAACGTACTGGGTATATACTGTATACATGTGGTTAAGTGCATATTTATAAATTTTACTGCAGGGAAACGTTTGAAATTTTTTTAATATTTAATATTAAATGTCTGAAACTATTTCGTTTCAGTATATGTTTAAAAAAATAGCTTAATTCTATGTGACAGAAATACAATAAAACAAATGTAAAAAATAGATAAATTTATACATAACACTTGGGACTAGATGGTTAAGAAACCATCGACAATTTATCGAGAAATATGTCTTAAAATCACAAGGAGTGATTTAGAATCATTTATAAAGGGTTAATTTTCTTGTGTACATCTCAGTAAGCAAATTAGCATTCCTCCACGGTCATCTATAATACTTGTATAAATGATAGTTTAAATATGTTAAATAAAATATTTTTTATATTATAAAATTAAAAATGTTGTACTAAAAAATATAATATACAATTAATCATCATTAAGTTGTTTATTGAAATAATTAACTATTAAATGGTTTTACGCAGTGTTTTATCATCACAATGCTTTTGCAGCGTTTTAGACGGAAGTATTAAAGTTTTAATTTTCAAAATTCATATTTTAATGAAAATAACCATTTTGTTTTTATAATATGTACAATGTTCATGTAATTTAGATTTTAGATAGTTTAATGTTTATATTGCACATGCGCGAATATTTCGTAAAAAATAAAATTATAACAAAAGGATCATTCTGTATAATATTAATATTTGCACTATATTCGGATATTGAAATTGTATTTATGAAACTGACCTAATGTCTTAGACAATTCAATAATCGACCATACACTTGAAAATATCGTGTACATTGTTAATAACTATAATATATCATATTTTAGACCACATATTAGGCAATCCTAATAACTATAAATCAGTACGACGTAGTAATAAGTAATAATATCTAATATCAATTTTGACTACGTACATTAAATAACACGAAATCCAAATTTGTAAATAGAACTTAATTTGACGATAAACTATAGGTAACAATAAAACAAAAAAATTATTTTCTTGTGAAATAAACCTTAAGTAAATAAGTTTAAGTTTCATTAGTTCTCACTTAAGTATTTTGTAAATTTATTTATGAAATAAAATTTTAAACTTATTACTTACCTGAATGTGAAGCATGCTGATAATTAAATAATTGATATTGGCGTTTACTGTAAAATTATATAAACGTTATACTATGATGATTGATGTGTATATAATGTTTAAATAATAGTTTTTTTTTTCCAGTTTCAATATTTAAAACATTAGTAAATACAAATAAATTATGATAAGTATTTATCAAACGATATTTTTGATTTTTATATTTAATATAACAGATATATTACTTAGTAAAAATAATTTATACAACAGAAACATAATATTTTTTTTTTTTTTTTTTTGAGACAAAGATCTAAGTTTGTTAAATTTCAAAAGGCTATATTTATAATTATTTATTGAAATTTTGATTGAAAATTATTAGTTTAAAACAGTACTTAATTAATGTTAGGTGTATTGATATTACAATTATTAACAGTATACACGTAACCTATTGTATGTATCTGCGGAATATTAGTCGTCAAACATCTAAATTGAAATTTAGAGAATCCATTTCAAACGTTAGTTTGTTTAAAACATTACTAGATTTGTTCATCTAAAATGAATAATTACTCGTGAGTATTGCACATAGGTATAGTCTATACCTACGTAAAATAATTGATTTAGCAAAATTGTATTATATTATTTATAATATTGTTTATATTATAATAACTCTGATAACATAGAATAATAATATATGATTAGATTTCTAATTAAATTAGTTATTTATAGAGTTCCGTTACCGGACAATAACTTTTTCATTTTATAAAAAAGTTTTCATTGCATGATGGTTTTTAAAATAAAAAAATAATATTTTTATAAATTCAGTGGATTTATAAATTTAAACAAGAACTTGTTTATTTATCAATTATTATGTTCAATGGTTTTCTATTAAATTAAATCAATGTTACGTATGTTTTAAGGAATTTTGAATAAAATTGTTTCAGACATAGTTTTATAATTTATAAACACAATCACCCAAATTGAAATCGCGTACTTACAAAAGCAGAAACATCAATTTTTTACTAGATTATAAATCTTAACAGACACTAATGAATGTCCTGAGTCCGAATGCCATCCGTCAATCTTCATTAATTCTCGTTGGCAGTCATTTCACCATGCCAACCAGCTGCGGTTTCATTAGAACATCGCTAGTGCCACTGCAGCTGAGCTCTGTTTGTGGTCTAAATTCCTTAGAATTCCTCTTGAAAACTATATATTATTTTAGTTACACTGTTAATAGTTTACTCGGAAGTCCGGGCCATCTTAGAAAACGAACCTACATTCCGATACGTGACTAGCAAAAAAAAAAAAAAAAATCACGTGTAGAAAATTACTCGATAGTCATTATAGTTCAAACTGTGTAAAAAAGAATAAAGGAAGCAAAAGGTATTTACGCGTTTTATGCAGCCAATTACTTATAATTAAGTTGGAATTAAACTCACCATATTTTGAATAGGTACTCAATATTTTACATAAAAAAATAAAAATGTATTATTTTGTATTTATAATTTCTGTAGCCTATTGTATATCTTAATTATTATACTAACATTAATTTTCTTTTCCAATTATCCCAGTTAACAGATTTTACAGTAGACTACATTTTAATACCATTAACTTACACATGTCATTATTTGAAACCATCCGCCTATTTCTTCTTTAAACTTTTTAGTTCACTTCGCTGCCCGCAGAGTAGTGTTTTCAATAACTCGGACTAAAAGCTTTTGCAGGAAAATATTTGTCTACGTCGCAAATCAATATTTAGTAGAAATAATTTAATCGGTTTTGAAAATATTATAAATATATTTCTTGGCTATACAGTGTTTTTGTGTCATTTTAGATACATATTATATAATATTTCAATATGTGTGAGTCATATGTTTTCTAGATGAATATTTCAATTTAATTTCTGTAGACGAATATGTAAAAAGATTGAACTCTAGGCGTCAGAACTAGGGTCTCCCGGGGAAAAACGGTATTTTAATTTTATCCTCTTTCATACCATCATTCGTTACTAGAGAATAATAAAATATTCGTTCTACTGTGGCTGATTTGTAGTTAACCAGTGAGAATACAGAGTTTTTTTCGGTTGAAATGGTAGGGTAAGTGGTTAAGAATCAAGATGGCAGGTTTTTTCGGAACGAGCTAAGAAAAAAAGTTAAATTTTAAAATTATATCGTGGTTGGGGGGAGGGGGGATGTGATGATACACTTGAAGCTTCCAAAAAACAATACTCCGGGGAAATCCCCCATAATTTTCTCGTTCTTATGTTATGTATGCGTTGGCATATCCTTAAAAAAAGATCCGGAAAACTCGGCCCCATTATTTGGGGTAATATTGCTATGAGTCCCGGAAAAACAGTAGGTACAGACGATTACAACTCGTTTTATTACTATTATTATTGTTCGTATTTTTATGGCGTGTCACACGCAAATGAGACCGAGATATTGCGTGTTTATATATACTCGCCAATTTTTTTTTTATTTTTTTATGTGCAACCGAAACAAGGGACGGGCGTAGAAAGGGGCTGGTTGTCGGATTGTCGGGAAACGGTCTGACTAACGAATATTTTTCCTACCCATCTCGATTCGACGATGACGTTTCTCTCTCTCTGTTGTTTGGAAAAATATTAATAATAACAACAACAATAAACGGAAAAATTTTTGTTATACCTTCCTAAATATTCTTGCGTACATTCTGATGTTTACAGGATGTACATAAAATACACACGAATAATGTTCTCACACTGTTTGAGTGTGGAATAAATGAAATTATTCTACATAAACCTCGTTTCACATTTTTGCACGCCCGTTGATAGTGGCAGGGCTATCTGATACCTGCAGTACACTTACTATTGTATCTATATATTTTTATATATCTGTATGTATATACATTTAAATTATACTTTTATACTGGTAACGTTTTCAATTTTGTGTTTAGGACTCATGTACGTTCCCTGCAATCATTTTGTAAAATTACTTTTTGTTTATCGATTACGACATGCTCATGATGAATATAATCATTAATTATATACACGCTCATTGCAGACGAATAAGTAAATTATTACCAATTGTATACACTGTAACACCACCTTTTCTTTGAATTAAACGTTAGATCATTTTTATCTTTCAACGTAGGTATTAAGATTTCGTTATGTTAATCTGTGTTTAAATAATAATAATCATGCTTTTTAACGATCAAGCAGTTTTTTAATGTTTAATCTTATTTTTTAAATTTTTAATAAAACATAAAAAATGAATACTGACAACAATAATTTAGAAGGCAACATAATTTTAACGTTTACAAGAAAATTAATAATGAAATATTTCGGTAGTAGGTTTTTTTTAATAAATATATATACCTACTTATCATAATTTATAAATATAATATCTAAACACTAAATATTAATTTATTAATATAAATTTAATAATTTATTAATATGTTATAGATTCTAAGTGATTCAATGAATGTATAAATTTTACAATGATGTGTAGTTTTCTTATATATATATATATATATATATATATATTTAAAAAAATATGATATATCCTAAAAATTATTTAAAGTGGTTTTTGATACCAAATTGAATCTAATTTATAATTTACAAAATAACTGTGAGAGGAGGAATCGACGGATAATTGGAATATTTATACATAAAATTAGTTTCTGACAAAATATATCTTAGATTTTGTATTTTATTTAAAAAAAAAAAAAAATTGAATAATTTAGAAATTTGGAAT